TTCTGTCTATCCAAGCCCTCAGGTCCCTTTCTGCCTGGCTGCTCTCCACGCAATTGATCTCAAGTTTGGAAAGCAGGGTATTCACAGCTGCTCAAGGCATTCTGATTTCAGGACGTTAGAACCGTTTGATTCACAGTTCGATGAGTGTGTAGTCTTGCATGTTAGTTGTAACTTCTGGCTGAGTAACTGAATCTGTGGGATTAGTTTAAAAAAAGAAAACAAACTGTAACCAGATTTTGAATAAAAATTTCTCTTGGTGTTCTAGCCTCAGCAGGAGATTGATTTGAATTCCTCACAAACAGTTGCCTCGGAGAGACAGACCTTCTACTGTGTTCCAGTGCCTGGGGAATCAGCATGGGTGAAAGAAATATCCTTTTTGGCTGAGCTGCTGCTCTGTTGTGCAATCAGTGACCACCGACTAATTCATCATTAGAGTTAGGGAGATAAGTTTGTGTAAAGCGTGGAGTTTTTTTCCCCTTCCCTGACTCAAGAGGAGTGGTAGGTATAGAAAGAGAAAAAATTGGTAGTGTGTTATATGCACAAAGAGGATGGAAGTGAATTTAGCAGCATTGCTTTTTGATTTAGTAGGGATCTAGACTAGATTTCCATGTTTGCTGTGGAGGGTCTCAAAAATTTCTATTAATTTCTATTTGCAAATACTTAAAGAAAAACTTCAATTTAGCGGTTGTCATTTCATTGGCATCTTCTGATTAGAGCAGGACACTCTTACACAGTCTCCTGTAAGAACCTGTGAACAGACCTGTAGCTGAGCACATGAAGATGAAAATTCCTGCAAGACTGAAGTATTTTAACTTTAGTAGTTACACCACAGTATGTCATTTTCTCATGGAGTACAGGAAACATTTTGGGGAGGAACAAATTGTCTTTAGTTTCTGCTAAAGTTGAATTATCTAACTGAGATGGATACAAGATTTTTATTTTAATACTTTTAGGAATTTTATATTCTCCTCCAAGGAAGGTCTAGAAAAATGAAGATATGTTATATTTTGTGTAATGAGGATTTGGTGGTAAATCTACAGTGATTTGATATTTCGTATTTTGAGCTCAGAATTCAACAAATCTGCTACTTGTCATTGGCACAGAATGCTAATGCAATTTCAAATTCAACTTTTTTGACAAAAGGATTGATAGGAGTATTTGAATGAAGCTTAGAGCAAAGTGCTGGAGCAATGGAAGCTGAAGTGGGCTGGGCTCATGAGAATTGTGAGAATGATTTCAGTGTTTGCCCATTGTGCTAAGAAGAAAAAGTGTCTCGGTTTTTTCAAAATGTATGTGCAAGTGTCTTACATGTGTGGGAACATCTCCTGTGTGTTGCTTTTGAAAAGTACTGATAATTATTGTATCACTAGTAAATCTTTAATATTGTAACAGCTGTTCTTCAGGGTTGAGAAGTGGAAGAGAAAATTCATAGAGGTTTTGATTTGTACCTGGCCACTTCTTCTCTCTTCTGTAGAGACTGGTGGTAGAATAGCACTTGGTGGGTTTTAGTTTCTATTTTCAACCAAGCCACAGACTACTGTGCACTCCAGCAGGTTATTTATGTGTCTGAAGAGATGACGTCTAGGTAACAGTTAGTTTGCTGTCTTGCCCCAAATAGAACACTAGCATTTGCTTAAAAAAATAAGCCCCCAAAGCTTCCTTTGCCTGAATTTGCTCTGCTCAGTCTGTGGTTGTCCTTAAACCGTGATTTTACGCATACATTAGTGCCAGCCAAGCTCGAGTTAGTCCTTCAACATCCTACACACCAAGTCGCCACAAGAGGAGCTATGAGGAGGATGAGGATATGGATCTACATCCATCGAAACAGAAGGAGCAACATATGGGTAATAGTTGCTACTGATGAATAGTTGTTATGAGATCTTTCCAGAATTTGAGAAACGTCGTCTGCAAAAGCTGCAATATTTGCAGCTGTCTGAATCAGTTGTGTTGTGCCTAATCTGGTGGCTTTGAAGTCATCAGTGGTTTGATTTGAGGTAGCATGGGAGAGCCTAAGGTGTTACATGTGCTGTGTGACTTGCTGGCATTACTTTCTACAGTTAATTCCTAAAACTAACATGTTATTATGGCAGCACTTGTGTATTGCTTTTGGTATGGAACAGCACACAAACAATTTATAGCTGCAAATTGAGTTTGTGTTTAATGTCCCACTGTAGTGCAGTCTTCATGGTAATCTGGGGGAAATGCTGTAATCTTGTCTCTCTCATACTGTCTGTGAATCTTACTGTGTAAATTGAAGCTGAGCTAGGTGTCAATTAGGTGCTGCTCTGCTACAGACAGAATATATATCTAACAAATATCTCCTAGCCTTAATTTTTTTCTAACATGATTTACTAATTCAACTTCATAAGGAAACCAGATTAATGTGAAATACTTGTAGCACCCTGAAGAAAGTATTAAACATTCCCAGAGGACAATATTTCCAACACTAGCAGTGCAAAATTCTTACTTATCTTGTAATCAGTCTGTGAACTCTTTCCTTTGATACTCCTCTGTGAAGATGCCACTTAAACTGCCATGGGGGTTTTCTAGGAGTTTCTGGCAAGTTTTCTTTTCTACAAGAGAAAGTCCTTAGTTTTAAGTTGTTGGTCCTGTTAAAGAAAAAAATGTACAAGTTACTGCTTTTGTTCAATGTTATATCTTTTTCATGCATATTCTCACCTTTAATTATCATCTGGGTTTTTTTAAACATGAATAGACCTTACAGATAATCTAGTCCCAACCCCCTGCCATGGGCAGGGACACTTCCTCGCTAGATCAGGTTGCTCAAGGCTCATCCATTCTGGCCTTGAACACTGCCAGGGTTGGGGCAGCCACAGCCTCCCTGGGCAACCTGGGACAGTGTCTCACCACCCTCACAGGAAAA